TCTCTTGCTCCAGTACCTCCGCATTTTCAAGGCTGGACTCATGCGATGGATTTGCATTGGCCTCCTCGTCGCTGTGACTCTTTGGGGTATTGCCTTTTCAATCACCGCATGGTTTCCTTGCTTTCCAGTGCGTGGGTACTGGGACCGCACTGTATCTGCGAATTGCTATGGTTTCGGACTCGGAGACCTTGACAGCTTCATCGCTACGTACAAAGCGCAAGCAGCCACCAACATGTTGTTCGATATCTCCATCTTCATTGCGCCAATGGTGTTGTTCAGAACACCAAACCTGCGATCCAAGAACGTGTTCGCAATGGCTGGCGTGTTCACTTTTGGAGCTGTGTAAGTCGCTCGTTCCACAAAACTCAAGCATACCATGCTAACATGCTCGCAGCGTTGTCGGAACATCAGTCTGGCGACTCCACGGCATCGTCGAAACCAAAGGCGCAACCTATCCCTACGTCGACTACACCTGGTGGTCACCAACTCTCATCATCCTCACCTGCCTCGAAATCGACCTCGCCATCATCTGCGCCTCCATGCCCATCTTCTGGCCCATCATCGAGAAGTCGCTCAGCGCCATCTTCGTCAGCTACGAAGTCCAGGTCGTGGAGGAGCGCGTCGACGACTACGGTCTTACCTACGAGCTGGAGCACATGAAGGGGGACGACAGGCCATGCAGCATAAAGAGCAGCGGGACGAGCACACAGGAGTTGACGAACGATGATGAGGAGTCACATCCGAGGAGACCACAATTTACGGTGGGCTTTGATCCGCTGAGTGAGGAGCAAAGAAACAATGGGTTGAGTACGAATGTTCAGTCGACAGCTCCGCAGAAATGGCAACTCTAGATGATCATGCATATACATCTCGAAACCAATAAAAACACATGCAAACAATCACACAGTCACAATACGCATACTTCACTCGTTCCAGCAATAACACTGATACCATCTTCTCAGCAGACCCTCCATCCACTCACACCAACAGCCACGCATCACGACCCTACGTCATCCCAACTCCCCTTCGGCCCGCCATCCACTTCACCTCACCTCCCGCACACCTATGCACTTTCCCCAAGGAACCTCCCTGCGACCACCACCTCACCCCACAGCCCTGAAACACAAAACCACCGAAGACATCTCTTCGGCCTCATGTGTACGTACAGTACTGTATGACCACCATGTCCACCCCACGCAGCTGTTACGGCCGAACGAAAGACAACACTACTACTGTAATTGAATCGCAAAGCGCAAATGTCAATGTCACAAAGGTATGTACCACCGGGCACAGCGACACTAGTCGCGCGTCTAGATCCGTCTGTGTCGCACGCTACATCCCCGGGTAACTTATCTGGGCAATGCATCTCCGTGGGGGGGCGCGTTGCTGTGATAGCTGCGCCAGCACGCCAGGCACATTTTCCAAGGTTAGCAAAAAATTCTCCGGGCCTTATGTGGAGTTGCTGCTTGATTGCGCGCAGTTGTGCATGAGTAGAACGTGGTCATGTGGGTGATGGGATTACGGGGGCTGGGGGCTGGATTGTCGGGGATTGTGATGCGTGTTGCATGTGAGGCTGAAGGTCCGAAAAGATGGCCATGGATAAGAGGAACTAGGTAGTGCGTTGCGTGAGACGGGAGGGGAAGGGTGGAAGGTGGGAAAGTATGGCGGTAAGCTGGGAATTGCGCTTCGGGGAGGTGAAAGTCGGTCCGATCGGAGGTTTATCGATAATGAGATGTTGGATGGATGGGCGATCTGGTGTGACGCGCAGAGCTTCAGCTGAGATGGAGAGGTGGGTGGGGAGAAGGTGTGGCGAGATTTTTTGGGTGGTGGAAAGAGTGCCCAGGTGGTGTCGGGAATAGTGAGAGGGTGCATAGGTGGGTAGGGTGGTGGTGTGCAAGATTTGCCGATAATTATGCTTCTTTTTGTGTTGTTGAACTCGCCATCGTCTACAGGTATTGGCCCTTCGCTACTTGTAGTCTCGATTGTCGCAGCCTTTGTTTCCTAGCATCTCTGAGTCTTCGAATCGTGTGTTTCCCTTCTCATTCCCGGGGTGTTTGTCCACGCAGTCGAAAATTCTCCATAGTATGTGCGTGAACTTTGACGATCTCTACGTCTCCATCACCTCATGAACATTGCGGCTGAACTCTTCCCTCCACCTACGCTGATCTTCACATGAAGAACTCAACCACTTCCCAAGATCACCACCACACATTACCCCGAAACCCAAACGTCGACGTTAGAGCAGGCTGCCTTAGGCGAGCACTTTCTGGTGCGATATCCATGTCCAGGACCAGTCAAACGTTAGTGCGTTGCGCCGTTGAGAAGCTAGTGGTTAAATAGGCGTGTAGCGGTTTGAAGAGACGATGGTTTTAGCTTTCGTTGCTTTTACCACGTGCAGCCCTGAACTTGCTTTTTGCTGATCTTGATGTGCATCACCCGCACTCCCGGCAAATGTAAAATGGCGAAGCTTATTTGCCGTATGGCGCGTTGTGGCGTGCACACCTCAGGTAGCTTTAGCCTCTAGGGCAGCTGGCGTGTTCCCGTGGAGAGGGATGCGCGCGGGGTGGTTAGGTAGTAGTGGCATGCGTACTGCATCATGAGGCTTCCTGTCGCGTTCTCGCGCCAATGCATTAATGAGTTATTAAAACGACATCGAGGTGAGGCGAGTGTGTTAGTATAGTAGTGCTTGCTGTTATGGCCGACGCGTCCACAGAGGCATGTCAGCCTAGGCAAACACAGAACTCCCTAGAGCCTACATCAGCTTCAAGTCATCTACCTTGCATGGTTTTATCTTACTGTAGTCTGCAGACCTGTCCAGTATTCTGTTGGTATGGAGTGGCGCTTTCCAAGGTTAGCTGTTTTGACGAAACGCGTGGAAGACGCGTCTTAGCGCGATCGGATTGTAAGCGGGGATCACCACTCCTGACGTCTTCTTTCCACATCGCGACGCGTCCCCAATGTCATGACGCCACCCGCGAACGCGAACGAACGAGTTGTCATAGCCGAATCTGGGGACGTATTGCTTACCCTACGCAACCCGGGCGCACCCTTCGCTGTTTGGGAACGTGAAGCCGAAGATGGCGATGCAGCCGATAAGTCTGTCATCAAAGAAGAGGGCAAGGAAGATGAGGATGCGGACCAAGACCTGAAGGTAGAAGGCCCGCCACAGAAGAGGAGAAGGATGGCAGAAAGATCGAGGCAGGGTGCAGAAATTCAAGACGATTTAGGGGACGATCCAGAACGCCCTTGCTTTGTGTATCAGGTCTCGTCTCAACACCTGATCACAGCTTCGCCAAAGTTCAAAAGCGAAATTATGTCTTGGAGCGAAAATCACAAAACAGACGATGGTTTTTACCACATGGACACCGCAGACTGGGATCCAGAAGCATTCGCTATACTTTTGAACATGCTTCATCTCCGCTTCCGCCAAGTACCCAAGATGCTGAGTCTGGAGCTGCTTGCCAAAGTCGCCAAGCTTGTGGACTATTACCAGTGCTGGGAAGCGTTCGACCTGATCGCGGACGTATGGGTCAGGCACGCTCGGGCATATCACCCAATACCAGGCACGTATAGTCGCGAGCTAATGCTATGGATACTCGTGGCTTGGGTGTTCAAAGAGCCCTTACTATTCAATAATGCTACCAAGATAGCTATACAATAAAATGACCGGTCAAACATCCGCGACATGGAGTTGGGCATCCCACCTGCGATTCTTCGTACGTATGCGTCCTCGTTCTTTGCAAATCATCAACTAACTTGAGCAGAAGCCTTAGAATCTGGCCGCATAGACACGATTGCGCAGATGATAGAAGCGTGCTACACCTGGATCGACAAGTATTGCGACCTAGATTTATGCAGAGCTGCACGGGACCGCTGCCCTTTCGAGTGTAGCTCTATGCTGCTGGGTGCGCTTATGAAGCAAATGAAGACCATGGGTCTCATGTCTCCACGACCGGCTGCGCCATTCGACGGCTTAAGCATCGATGGCCTGCGCAAGAAGACGAACGACATGAAGACACCAACTTGGTATGCACATCGTGACGCTAGCTCTCATCACGGATGTAACCTTGATTCGACGGTGCGTCACCAAGTTTATTCGATTGCAATGAGCGTTCGCGGGCTCATTCGAACTGACTTCGTGGATCGCGGTGAGATTGAGGCGGAGTAGACGCTCGATCACAACAACGACACCTGTGGTAGCTACAACTTGTGTCGCATTCTTCGAAAAATATATTGGGGTAGGAGCCTACATCATCCTCTAATCTGTGTGTTTGTTAAGATATGGTGGTATGTATACCGCAGGCTGGGGCACCACTATCAGCCCCAGAACTTGAGCTGTAGTCAACCAAGTTAGTGTTGTCAATATAGCAACCGATACTTTCACAGGTATACCGTTCGCATCCCCAAGTTCATCTCGTCCATTGGTAGGTTGCGCACAGGATCGGCTTGAGTATATACCACGAGCATATCAAAATCGGACATGATTCTCTCGAGAAGAATATGTTATGGCGCGCTGTGGGTACTTCATCAGAATGTGGCTGTTGGGACTGCGCTATGCTCACCCGCGCCGAAAGTTCTTTCTATGAATCTACCTGGAGAGTCAAGACAAGCATCTGCATTCCATACTTGACTCTGAACGCCCTCGTGGTAGTTGTGATTGTACCTATATCGACACGAGATGCGCGGTCGGCGCTTACCTCAGTGTGGGTAGAGACTAACTAAACCTTGGGATCGGTATCATGATCGACGTCGCTATGGCTACCTAGGTAGTCTTGGAGACTCTCGCGGGCTGATATTTTCTTTGAGCTGTGACCCTTGGAGTTAACAGACAAGTTCAAGGTCGATTCTGGAACCCAAAACAGCAATATATCAATACGAAACGTCTTCACTTTCACTTTCACTTCCGCGCCACAACGGAGCTCGGCGTGTCTCGCTCCGCCTAAGCGATAACCAATATTCGTCCTCTCTTCTTGTCCTCCATCACCGCACACTACCCGAAGATGGCGACTGAGGAGCCCTCATCCGCTGATAGGGTGCTTACCCCCAGGTATGTTTCACATCGTGCATCACAAAACATTACTGATCCTCGCATAGCGTCGCAACAGTCTCGGACACCACAATCGTCAAAGTTGGTGCTGAGGGCAAGAAGTACAACCTACACATCGACCTTCTCAAACATCACTCCGGCTACTTTCGTGGAGCACTTTCGGGCGCATTCAAGGAGACGGATGACGGAGTCGTTACTCTCATCGATATTGATACCGACGCGTTCGACGTCTTTGTTGACTGGATATACACCGGCGTTGTCGCTCCGATAGAGTTCCCAGCTAAGACCGTCAATCACATTGGTCCCAAGTTTCGGTCGTATATTTTGGCAGATCGACTACTGGCTCCAGGACTCAAATCGGCTATCATGGACCTCTTCGTCTGCTATCAAGGAGCCGGTCCGCTAAAAATACCCGGTTGTCACGGTATTATCTACTGCTATGCACATCTGCCCGAGAGCGACCCCTTGATTCGGCTGGTCGTGGACTTGTGGTGTTTCAAAGAAACTATGAGCTCCATGAACGATGAGGTTGTAGCTTTGCTACCCCAGCTGCCCAAGGACTTTCTTGTTCGTTATCTGGTCAGGATGAGAGATTTCAAGGCAGGAGCAGCATCGACCACATCTTTGAAGCGTGAAGATTACAACTAGGGTGCTAGGACTGGGCAGGCCGAAGCTTCATACGTTCAAGTTGTAGCATCATTCACGTGTGTCTAGCTTCAGATACTCAAGCGTTATCTGAATGAACGATATTGCCTCCAATCAACATATTACGTGTAGGTTAGAACTGAAGTTAGTATTTTAGTGCATCTAACCGTACTTTGCGATCTCTGACCAGGTAAGTGACATTGAAGAGTAAAACGAGCGGTGATAGGAAGCATCCTAGGTGAGAGAGCAGGATGGCCCTCACCTTACACAGTTCACTGCCCATCTTGCTATAAGTAGTAGGAAGCTTTGTAGATCTTCCTCCTACCTCTTCTCACCTACACCACGTTCTCCTCTAACTGTTCTTCTTGATCCTTGCAGAGTGTAGGCAACATCAGCGTCCATCCATATCAGCAAAGGACAAAGGCACTTCACATCCAAGGCGGAATCATGAAGAAGGTTGAAGCACCTCGCGCAAGGTAAGTAACTGACCGTGGAAATCGCAAAGAAGTATGTTAATCGTTTTACGTAGCGCCGCTGCCACATCAGAGACCGTCGTTGGCGTAGTCGGACCCAAGGCAAAGCGATACACTCTACACAAGCGGCTTTTGACGCACCATTCCGGATATTTTCGTCGCGTATTCGTCAACAGGTTCAATGAGTGTCATCTACGCAACGCGACAGTTGAAGGCTTCGATGTCTTCGTTGACTGGATATATGAGACAAGACTGCGCCCTTCTGTTGACACGAATGGCGATGAGGCGCGATGCATGCTCAGGGCCTACCTGGTGGCAGCGGAACTGTCAGTTGGACCATTGAAGAAGGCATTGATAGACTGGATGTTTCATTATCTCTCAAGTCACCTTCTCAGCGCTTGGGTTGTTCAATGGATGTTTGAGTCTTTGCCAAACAACGACCCCTTACTTCAGCTCATCGTTGACGCATTCTGCATCGGCAACGGCGTAAGATCGATGAGTGTCGAGTATTTTGCTGAGATCGATGACCTGCCCAAGGAGTATCTGTGTCGTATTCTCCGGAAGCTACACCAGCTGAGCCAGCTACCAGAGAAAAACCGAGTTCTTGCACGCGAAGACTACAGCACGGTGGTCTGCCTGTAGTACACGGTTCCAGGGAAAGCTTGGCATATTCGCAAGCTGGAAAGACGGCTGAAAGGAAGCATGACAACAAGGCAGGCTTGCAGTTGATCCTAACCTTGGAAGTCTTTGACGTGAGGAGGGAAAGGCGAGAGCTGGGTGACTTTGGATGGTCCCTTCGGCAGAACAAAAGTTATCACTATCTAAGAAAGCGCGGTTTTCTCAAGAAGAATGAATTCCATGTTTCAAACTCGTTTTGGTGAAAGGCTGACAATGCCATGACTGAGTGGAACAAAGGTGTTGGTCGTGAGTCTGACGCAGCTTTGCAGCTGGCCCGTGCTTACATAAGTGAGGCTCCGCTGCCTTGTTAGCGTCGCGCTACGAGCTTCCCCAGCGCCATTCGTCATTTCGTATGAGCAACATTACCTTCACCTCCGTCCGCTGCCTTTCAGCCTACACACCCTCCACCAGTCATTTACACGTCGTCGCAATCTGTGATTGATCTTATCACCGCAAAAAGGAAATTCAACCGCCCAACGGTCGCAACCTAATTACCATTCACGCCCCCGGAACATTCACGTTAGCCCGGTAAGTCGTGGACGGCCCGTTAAATGAGAGCATTTACTGACGTGGCTCCTAGACTTTCAACTACACCCAAATCATCATGTCCGACGCCGAGGTTATCGAACAGAAGCGCGAGGAGGATGAGCGCCTCGATACCGCCGAAGACCCCAACGAAGAGGTACGATACCATACACCACAACGCGCGCGTTAGACTTGTCGACGATAGCGGGCGGCTGTCGCGCATAAAAGTTCCGATATAGAAGAGCATGCTGACAGTGCAATGCAGGAAGAGATCTCAGCAATGAGGCGACGCGTACAAGAGATGGAGGAAGAAGCCCAGAAGCTACGCCAGATGCAGAGCGAGACGGACCTAGAACGCCACGAGATGCGCGAGAGCAAAGAAGACGTCGACGCGCGCAGTGTCTTTGTCGGTAACGTCGACTACGGCGCTTCCCCCGAAGAGATCCAGGCACACTTCCAGAGCATCGGAAGCATTAACCGTGTGACCATATTGCTCGACAAGTTCACGGGTCATCCTAAAGGGTCAGTACTAAGAGGAGGTTTTCCTTGAACGATTTGCGCATTTCCAAGTTTTTACTATTTGCTTTCATACATCGACAATTATGCGCGCGTACAGTCGCGTACATGTTGTTGGAGTTACAGTTGGGCGAAAGTATCTTTCGCTACCTGGCAAGAGTTTGGCAGAAAGATCGGAACGCTAATGAGCGTATGCAGGTATGCGTATGTGGAGTTCACAGAACCGCATCTGGTCAATGAGGCCTTGGTCCTTGACAACAGCCAGTTCCGCAGCCGGAATCTAAAGGTATGAGATACTAAATATCCTCCCTCGATGCGCGAACGCAAGCTGACACACGTATAGGTCGTCCCCAAGCGAACGAACCTCCCCGGTATGACACGAGGCGGACGCGGCGGCCGAGGCGGTCCTCGAGGCGGATACGGCGGACGCGGCTCACCATACGGCGGCCGTGGTGGCTACGGTGGCGGCTACGGCGGCGGCGGCGGCGCTCCACGAGGAGGCGGTTACCGTGGTGGATACCGTGGCGGAAGAGGCGGATCGGCATACCGCCCATACTAAGGCTATGACACGACACCGACACCGGCACGCGTTATACCACCAGACTTAGGTCGCCGTTTCTGTATTGCTATATTGGGTCTCTCGAGGCAAAGGTGAACAAAGGAAACAAAGGACACAAAATTGGATTGGGGAGTCGCGGTGACTATCTGTAAGATCCGAGGCTTGTACTATTAGGGATGATTGTTGGACACATGTCGTGAGGATGCGGCGAAAGGGCTGCTGGACTTCTTATCAACCGGGTTTTCTGAGGGACCGGATGGGGTTTAATATATGTTTCTTTGCTTCGTTGCGTACTGTTCTTCTTTACGTGTGGAACTCGCTTCGACCAGACGAGGCATATTATCGAGTATCCTTGACGCTACCGTTGCTTTGAGCGAGACATCACATGAGCGTTGATTCACAAAACGACAAACACGAATAATTCATGTATATTACTCCATGCGCAAAATGCCAAGGAGACTGAGAAGAAAGTCAGGTATCATAGCCACATGCGGCTTTTCTCCCACCATCTAAGCACCCATACAATGCTTGGGAACCTCGCCCGAACGCCAGGATCCGTATCTCATCAAAAGGACGTTTCCATACTAAGCGCGCCTCAACCAAGTAGTCAAAGGCAAAGAAAGAAAGAAAATGCAAGAGCATGTCTACCTCGTCTGAGCAGTATCCGCAGCGGCTGAGCAAGAGACTGCTCATATCATCCGTGGCAGCTCATCGAGGCCTGACAACACCATCCCGTACCCAACCCACACAACGGCCCTCACTCACCGTCAGTCACATATAACCAAAAGGCACCTTCACCCCACGGTACACCACCTCTCCCCCCCTCTCATCCCCGACAATATGTAGCTCTTCCCCTGGCGCTCTGACAACGTACTACGGCGCCGGGTTCTCCTTGACAATCTGCTTGACCTTGCGCTCATACGCCGCCTTGTCCTTTTTGAACAGGTTGAACGCGTCGGCTTGTGCTGGGCTCTCTGGGTTGGGTTCGTCGAGCAGCGATTGGATGCCCAGCAGGATCTCTTTGATGTTGATGGCGGGCTTCCAGCCTTCTTCTTCGTTGAGGATGGAGAGGCAGACGGTGCCCGAGGGGTAGACGTTTGGGTGGAAGAGGGGTGGGACGAATTTGCCTGTGAGTGGGTTAGCTGTTGTTAGTGTAGATGGGTTTGGGAGTTTGGCGGAGGAGAGGAATGGGCATGGGCTGAGAGATTTGTGTGGAGACGTACACTTTGGTGGCTTTGTTGGGTATTCATCTGGGAATGCGACTTCGAGCTTGAATAGACCGCCTTCCCATATCGTCTTTTCTTTTCCTGGTATGCCGCATTCCCATCGCTTCAGGTCCATCATGCCGTTGGAGCCGCGCATGGGCTTTGCGAAGAAGCCGAAGGGGTGGTCTCGTCGCCATGACTTTCTGGCTGCTGCGTTAGCGAAGATCATGTGCGATGAGACGTGTGAGCGCGTACCTCTCCTCCGAGAGCCTGTTGACGCAAAGAGACATGGTGTCGGTGTAGATGTAAGGCTGGCCGTTGCGCCTCTAGCTTGTCCTCTGGATTTCCGTGCTGATGTACCGACAGAGCGTGCGGTAAAGATATATCGAAAACTGCAAAGACGGCGTCTTATATATCGCGAGCTTGAGCGTGTGGCGTCGCGCTTGTTAACGTGCTACGAATTGCGGTAAAGGTGAGGATTGCAGACGGTAAGAGGACCAGGTGAAGTCGAGTTACGGTTGCACGTGACCTGAACAACAATTATCGGGCGCCGCAGCGTTGGGATTCGGGGCTAGATCCCGTCGCGCGAAGGTGGAAGGTGCGATGCGCGATCTGCCCCGCGCTAGGCCTTGGCTCTGGTGTGCCTGCCCCGCTTATGTGATCCAATGCGTATGCGCGGGCCGAGGCTGACATGGCATGTGTCTGGTCTAGGTAGCTACGATCTTCTTTACCTGTTCCTATCTCTGGCTCTTGGACCCTATAGAAGCTTTACCTGTATCTCGCAGTGAGATCAGACTAAGATGGCGGACACAGCCGCAAAGAAGGAAGAGCAACAACCCGCCAAACCCACACCCACAACCACTGCCCCTCCCCCCGCCGAAGTAGCCTCCGACCCCGAAGAAGACGACCTCTCCGACCTCGACGATGTCCTCGACGAATTCGCAAACACAAAGCTCGACGCCAAAGCCCCCACCGCCTCGTCAATAGAAGCAGCCTACCCCAAGTCCAGCGATGCGCCGTCGTCATCCGGGCCCGGCAGGCCAGCCTCGGACATCTCCCCCGCGGAACTCATGATGGAAGATCAAGATGCGTTCCAGGCACAGCTGCAGAAGGAGATGGAGCAGCTTCTTGGTCAGGGCGACTTCCAAAAACAGTTCGACGAGATTATGAAGGAGATGAGTGCGGAGATGGGGGGCGCGAATCCGTTGGAAGATCCTGCGCTTGGGCATGACCATGCGCATGCGCATGCGAGTGAGGGTGCGGGCGAGGCGAAGGAGAAAGCGGCGTCTGGTCCGTCTGAGAAGGCGACTGCTGCAAAGGCAGAGAAGACTTTCCAGGAAACTATCAAGAAGACGATGGAGCGCATGCAGTCATCATCCGATACCGCAACCTCCGCCGCTGCATCCTCGTCTCAAGACGACATCCTCGCGCAGATGCTCGCGTCCATGGAATCAGGCGGTTTCGGTGGTGCGGGCGAGGGTGGCGACGAGGACTTCAGCAAAGTGCTCATGGGCATGATGGAGCAGCTTACGAACAAGGATATCTTGTACGAGCCGATGAAGGAGCTAGACGATAAGTTCCCAGCGTGGATGGACAAGAACAAGGAGAAGTGTGAGAAGGACGACCTGAAGAGGTATGAGGAGCAGCAGACGCTGGTTCGGGAGATTGTGGGCAGGTTTGAGAGGAAAGGATACAGTGACGACAATGCACAGGATAGGGAGTACATTGTTGAGAGGATGCAGAAGGTATGTGATTGCTTTCTGATGTGTGATGCGACAGGTGCTAATATTAATGTAGATGCAAGCCGCTGGTTCTCCTCCGCCCGATCTGGTGGGCGATATGAATGCTGCGCAGGAGGCGCTTCAGGATATGGATCAGGGCTGCCCGACTCAGTGATCTCCTTGTGCGATAACTCGTCTGCTTCATTCTTCCCAGATACCCAATGTACATATGATGCCTTCCCCCAAGCAATCTGTTATACTGAGATGCAAGATTCCCGTCTTACAACATGTGCAGAGCTGCTATGATGTCACCACCAAGTCGCTATCTTTGGAGTGATCTCTGGTCAATCTCGAGTGTCTCCGATTTCGAATCGTTCTTCAACAATCCATCATGTCCATATCCATCACGTCCCCTCCGAACGCGTCTTGCGCGCGTTGCGGTTGCTGCTGATCGTGCCCCGCCGTCGCGCACTCAATGAATATCGAATCGTAGTCGTCGTCATCGCTACCATAGTGGTGTGACCGCGCATCCGATTCTTGCTCCATTGACGCGATCAATTGTTGCAACTCGTGTTCCTCTTGAGCAGCGACGTAGTCAGCTTCGGTCATCTCGGGATCTGATTGAGGCGCGTATTGTGGCAGTACAGGTAGCGGCGCGTCGTCCATGGTCTCTTCATCGATCTCGTCATTCTCCTGGGGTGCTTGACGCGCTTTTTCGGCTTCCCAGCGCTTCCGCTCAGATACGAAGTCTAGTTGTTGGATCTGCGTCATCAATTAGCATTGCTAGTCGCGTCTGTGTACGATTGCATCACGTACCTGTTCGCCTCGCGACTCCCACTTCTTGTCGTCCCGGTTGTTCTGTACGCGCTTGAAGAACATGTCTCTCCTGCGCTTCGTAGTGGCGTCGCGTGTCTGCATCACCGGATTGGCTTTGAACGCGCGTTGTGGCATCGCCGACTTCTCCTTGAGAGGTGACGACATGGTGAAGTCGAAGGTTCGTGGGGCTGCATTTGCGGAGCGCTCGGATAGTGGTGATGAGCGCGGTGGCGTGTATGCGGAATAGTGCGGCATTTGGTGTGAGAAGAAGGATGTCGTGAGCATCATTGTGTGGTGACGTAGTTCAGTGGTGATGGTATGAAGATAGATCGCGTGGTGGTGTGGGGTCGATATCGAGATGTGATGGGTTTTGGGTGGATGAAGTTGGGAGGGAAGGTGATGATGCGGGCGCGAAATGATGGGCAGTCGCGCTCGCGCGATGGTAGGTGCGTATCGATAAGTCACGTGCATCCCTTGATTGCAGACAGCCCTCCTGGAGGGTCTGTTCCTTCCTCCATACCGTCAACCACACTGCAATTTCTTCATTCTGACTGAGTGACTATCACCTCCGACTATATTCGTTCTTTTGGCCTTTGCATCTTCCAACCTTTAGCTACTAAACCAGATCGACGCGCTACATGCCGCATATGTGGAGGTACTGGATTTGGCGGCTGCAATGTCGCGACACGGACGTTTTTCGAGCTTGAAGCAGCTGCACCGCCTCGATGAGAGTTTCCATATAGGACGAGCAGGATTTTCAGCTCACAGCCTGCTTCTGAGCTTCGATCAGCGATAAGTTCAAGACACTGGCAAAGTCGTTTGCTCCAGTCAGGATCATGTCGGTAGGTCTTCTGAAGCGCTTCGGTCTCGATTATCATGAAGGCTGTCGGTATTTTGGAAAAGAGGAGGCAGACAAGGTCGACCCATTCGTGCTCCTTATGGGTAGCATGAATCTTTGAGAGGTTCAACTGCTCGGCACAGCTACTGAACAGATCACCCGAGTTTTGAAGTACCTGGAAGATGATGCCTCTGAACAGCTCCTCGATGGTTTGCGCGTCTGAAGACGTGCGGCCCGAAGGTAGATTCCAGAAAACGCGCTGACTTTCGGACCTCATTTCCTGGATCACCTTCGTTGCCAGTTCTTTCGCTTGCTTTTGCGCACGAATGCCGACTTGAACGACGAGAAGCGACGACCCCTTCCCGAAAGCCCATTTCAGGACAGTCTTGCGCACTCTTTGTTCATTAGGACTAGGCAAGCTTGGTGTCGTGTCCCGACGCACGAGCGACCGCACTTTGAGCAGGGCCGTCTCGGGCAATACCTTTGGTGCGAAGAATTGCATCACCCCGTTGAACTCGATACGATATACTGTCTTGCTTATACTGCAGACGTCATTGCCTATCCGCTCCGTGATGCTTTTGTGCGAAGTTGCGACCTGTAGCAGTTGGGTGATATGGGCTGCAAACTTCTTCTGCCCTTCCATAACGTCCGCCAATTTTGCATCGAGCTCCCGAATCTGCGCATGTTGCAGCATTGCTAGGGTGTGGACGTCGCGGATCTCGGCTCGAGCGCCAGCGCTGGCAAGGTCGTCCACCGCTTTCGAACACTCCTGGATATGGTTCACCAGCTCTTGGTAGCCAAGCTCGAAAGGCGTCTTGATGGCAGAACATATTCGACCCAGAGGGCTCTTCTTGTACCAGCGCACGCAGAGGCGGAGAAAGAGAATGATGTATGTGAACAGCCGTGAAAGCGCAGCTTCCATGTACTGAGTCTGGTACAGCTCTGCACTCAGATCCATCCGTGGCAGTACGTCGCCGATAGCGATGAGGGCTTGCGATAGCTTTTCGAAGAGGGTCGCTCGGTTGATCACTCCCTTTGGAGCGATATGTCAATATACCACAAGCGGTAGGGCAAGCTTGAACAAGGTACAACCTACGATCAGAACAAACTTCATGGCACCCCACACCAGAGCGACGTACTCAGGGTGATGCTGCGCCAGAGTATCCATGACTTTGCCATAGTACATGATGCGCGCAGACAGTCTCTCGAGCGACTGCCTCGTCTCAGCATGCTTCTCCTGCCTGCTCTTGTCTTCGTAATCCTTCTTGGCATTCTCCACTACGCTGAAGACATCCTTTATGGATGCTTGAAACTTGTTAGGGACTGAATCATCGAGAGAAATGCCCAGCTCATTCTTGAGGTGTTCGATGGCAGCCCGATACGCTTCCGCTGCGATGTTTCGGTTCCTACGACGTTCAGCCTTCTCTGCGCACCTTGTGATTGGTTGAGTATACTCACTCCTGGCCTGGCGCTGCTGTGTACCAGGACGAATGCGGGTCGCGCAACACTATGGCAGACATATTGACTGTGCGATAGTTTTCTGGTATATCATGCGAAGGCGCCAAATTGTTGCGAATCTAGCAATGCGCGCGGTCGCTGACCTTCCATCAAGGCAACTTGTTGGAAAGCGGGCTGTGCATGAAGGCTGAGGCTGTGCCGAGGAAAGGCTGCACGCTGCGTACACGTCGACACGCGCAGTTCTCGCACACCAGCCTGTTCTCCTGCACAAAGGCGCATCTTCCAATCCCCTTCGCAAATACCATCTTGGGATCAGGGGGCAAGTCGCGATTGCCTTCCCTCGCCACCTTTACTCTACCTCATAAAGTCGCCCAACTACGTTGTCGACGAAACCGTCGCATAGGACTGACGTTTGCGCCCACACCGCTATTTCCCGCTCGTCTTGCACAGAGACTCACCCTCCCGCAACGAAAGCCTGGTTCAAAATCGAGGAACACGCTGCACCGCCAAAATCCGCGAGTCCATCGTCTAGATTTGGATTCAGGTTAGCTCAACGAAGTCTATCTCAACGCAAGCAGCCACCCGACCGCCAGTATTGCGTGGACACATATCCCGACAGGCACCAGAATCTCGTTGGATTACTGATGCTCAGCCTGCCGACTCTTGGAGTGGAATGTCAACATTGACAGGCAGTTCCACGATGATGACCACAAGCTATCCATCCCCACCACCCCCACAACCCGGTACCACAACGTTGATCACAAGCTATCCATACGCACCACTTATCGTTCTGCGCGTTCGTCATATGAATTATATGCGATGCCATACACACCACCATCCATCAATTACCCACCTCCACCGTACCAGACCACACCGAGTGGCCTCGTGCATCCGGGGCAATCCAGACGAACAAGAGCTAAGAATAGGTCCATCAAGGCGGCAAAAGCCCCAGAACATCGAAGAGCCGTCTTGGAAGACCGCAAGAGCTCTGTCCCCCCGAAACGAAACCGCTCGCCCCCTCCCATGTCGCTCCCGTCTATGTCCGCTGAGGACGTGCTGAGTCCGCACGAGATTGATGACGAAAAAGAGAAGGAGTCATTGCCAGAAACAGCATTCCAAGCTCCACATGGGGGTTACCATGTCGATTATGCGCGACCAAAGTTCGGGATGAGGCAGGCAAGATCGACGTACCACCTTTGGAAGGAAGACAGCACCCCTACACCGCCGCGTTGGACAGGTATACCGGCAGGCTTGGGGAAAACGTCTCCAGCGGATTTCAGGAGGAGGAGAGCCTTGCCACGCGGAAATCTCAAGCGGGATCATGAGACTCTCAACCTTCCGCCCAACGGTTCCGAGGACCTCTTTCCGTATTTTCGTTCTCCAAACCCAGTAACCGAAAGGCACGAGAATGACCGTCCGAGGTTTGAGCCTCCAACCCCACCCGGCGAGATTCTCAACGCAGCTGCGCAAACAGCTGAAGTCAACAGGCAGCTCGAGCAACAACGCAAGCATCGTAAAGACTATCTCAACGATGTCTGGCAACGACCGCACGAGCCGCCGGTCCAGTCAAACCGACCTGAAACTGCCGAGGGAACCGCGTTTCCGTCATCCCAAATAATGTACCCTGCGATGTTGCAGCAGCAAAGGGCAGCCCAGCAAGCATTCATGCATCGGCAGCAGCGACAAGCTATGATTGCCCATCAGCAAGGCGGATCAGTATTACCGGATCCCATGGAAAGCTTGAACCAGGCACGGCCACAACAGCTGCAAGCAGTGAGGAATGGACAAATGGGGAAAGGACCGCTCGTTGACCTTCCTCCACACTTGATACAACAACAACAGTCGATGGGCCCGCAACACCAGGATGCCATGGCCCAGGCAGCCCAGCAACAAGCTCAACAGCTTCAACAAATGCAGGCGCAGCAACAAGCGATTGCGATGAAACATGCACAGTCTCAGTCGAGCAACCACAGCCAGGCCGTACATCACCCCCACCCTGCGAACCCACTCCCGCCCCCACACGCTTCCCCCGGTGCATGGGCCTTTCCAGGCGGCCAGCAGATTGATAGATCCAGATCACCTGAGATCCTGACCCCCACGCAGGAGGAGACTATGCGCAACCTCGGCAGCCAGCAAACGACAGCTATCCATGCATCCTCGGAAAGCGCCCGGACACAATCTATTGACGAGTTTGATAATCGGTCTCCAGCAATCACGAATGACAGGACGTTTTGCTCAGGGCATAGATTTACTCGCGGAGAATTGAAGTACACGATCTCAGAAGACCGCACGACAGACGCTTTCAAGCGCCGTAAAGTGCATTTCATAGCTTTGGGGCAGCCCAATAGCCGAGCCGCCAAAGTCGAGGCGCCCACTACCGATAGCCGTCACTTGAATAACATTGATCATTTCTTGGAGCACCTGCAAAGGACCGCCTATGAGAACCCCAAACAAGCTGCGGCTGCTGAAGTGCGGATGACAGCTTTGGAAGAGCGTAAGAACCAGGTTGGTGGGTATGCGAAAAGGCCAGCCGAGCTACGCCAGACCGCATTCAGTGACAGTTCAGGCACCCATCGAATAAGAACTAATCCTTCAATGTTCCAAGAAATGTGAGAAAGAGAGATGGCGCGCAATAAAAGATTCGAGGCAGTATCACTAGGCTCGTCTGCGGGGCTGCGAAGAATGAGTAAAACAAGCATAGCCCAAGAGGGATTGAAGAGAGAACTTTCAGCTTTCAGTACTATCTCAAATTGTTCCATTTGCTACATACCACTGCATCTCGCAAACGTAGGCGATGTAATGTTCACAGTACATAGAGGTCTTTGGTTTACGTGCAACACAACCTAGCAAGCTACATATGGCGTAACCGTATCGTGAGCGCTTCGAAACTTTTCATCGAGCGAATATTGAAACCTGTGGGCCTACCTGTGACTGCATGTGCATGTGGCTTGACGGCCTCGGCAGGCTTGACCCAGAGAGGTTTAGCCCTCAGATAAGCCACCTTCGACCGGTGAAGGTGGGATGTACATATCGATTTCAGCTGCGCTCATCCTCCGTCTCACATCAAACAAAGTCACTTTATCCATCCTATTTTCGATACCGACCCAGGACATATGGCAGCCCATTCCCAGAGAAAGCGCCCATGGAGTCCCAACGGAGTTGCAGGAGCCGGTGCCTCTAGCTCCACGCAGCAGCCGCCCGAGATCGATGCTTTCAAGCGTCCACGCCTAGCGGAGGAGGGATTGGTCGCGCGACGGCTTCTTATACATTGCGTAACGTGCTCGCATACGCGGAAGCATCACGAGAGCCACCCCTCAAGATCATATTATCTCGACACTCCAACAATGATCGCATCCGATCATCAGGCAAGAGCCTTACACGGTCAAAACCGACTGCGAGATGTGGACTACTACTTGGAGGAACGCCCCGGGTTCAGTATTGTGATCTTTATCGATTACGACTGCGAAGCTTACCACGATAACATCAAAGACGCATTCACACGAATTCCCATGCCTTCGATGCCAGAGGATATAGGAATGGACATTAAGCCATATTTCCGAGTTCTCCAGCAAGATGGACCGATAGCAAATGCGACTTCTGAGCGGCTACAGTTATCGGAAAACCTTGAGGAAGCTCTGCACACGCTGCAAGACCAGAACGCAGACATAATGGACGAGTGGTATTTCGACGAAGATCTTGATCACCCGTATCCGAAATTGGATCAATTCAAACATGTCTTTGTCGGACCCCGGGCACAAACACTAGAGTCACAACAACGGGAGGATCTCAAGGTGTTGTCTGATTATATAACTGAGCGTTTAACTCTGGATTACGGGGAGCTGGAACAGCTGTCGGATGCGGGATTGGTAAGCCGGAAACATTGGCTGATGCTTTTCCGACCAGATGATACAGTGGTCACGATGTTTGAAAGCCAGTACCGTGCCTTCAGTGTAAAATCGTGCCTTCTGCTCAGTTCAAACACAATCGAAATGGAATGCTGGTCTTGGGAGTACGATGGCAACTTCTTCCAAAAACACACTACAATGGACATCGAATGGCCATCTAGCTTAGATCAGGTGAAGATCAAGGACCTTTCAGTGTATCCTATTCGTTACGCAGGTGACGGGGTTGAATCTAGCTTGCGCGTACGCGGTAATACTTTCTGGAGTTGCCGACGGCAGAGATACGTAAATTACCAAACACCTCTGCTGGGCCTTGGGTCGCAGCTTGTAAGATCTTAATCTTAGTGGGAAAGAGCTCTGCTTACACAGCCAGGCTAATTTGCGGTATATGGTCGATGCGGAAGCTTATAAGCTGATGCATGGCCGCGATGATGACCCGACATCCAAGAGCGGACTCAGCAGTGAGGAGTTGAAGAAAGATGAACCCCCAGGTGGTGCCTTCACACTAATGCTGCCGGCAACTATGAAGGGGTACGGCTTTCACAACAAGAAGTGGAGTACGTTCATCGAATGTCTTAGTCATACGAGTGCTGATCATCAACACAGATACACTACTTGTGGAACACATTCAAGACATCAAATGGAACAGCGGTGTCTTCGATAAGCGACTAGTCCTTGAGGAAGGCAAGAAGGACCTGGTAAAAGCATTGGTTACAGTTCACATTGAGAAAAGCAGCGATATCAAGACCGATTTTATGGACGGAAAGGGTGAAGGGCTCATCATGTTACTTCATGGTGGGCCAGGAACTGGCAAGACTCTTACAGCAGAAAGTATCGCAGAGCTTGTTCATCGTCCCTTATATAGGGTGACTTGCGGCGATATCGGGACAGATGCCGAAAGCGTGGAGAAGTACCTCGAATCGGCTCTGTTCATCGGCAATACCTGGGATTGTGTCGTCCTACTGGATGAAGCAGATGTGTTTCTCGAGGAGAGAACAAAGATGGATCTTCAACGCAACGCGCTGGTCTCAGTGTTCCTGCGCGTGCTAGAGTACTACGATGGTATCTTGATCTTGACGACAAATCGCATCGGCACCTTCGATGAAGCGTTCAAGTCACGCATACAGCTCGCGCTCCACTACCCGCCGCTGAACAGAGACGGCCGTTGGGAAGTCTGGAGAAACTTTGTCAAGTCATTGTCGGAGGCTGGTGAGAGCATCAACACCGAAGAAATAACCAACAAACTCGATATCCTCGCCCGACACAAACTGAACGGCCGCCAGATCAGGAACACCATCAACACAGCTCGCCAGCTGGCGCGGTACAAAAAGGACTCATTGCGCTACGCGCATGTGGACCAGGCAGTCCGGGTCGTCAACGAGTTTGAGAAGTACGTGACCGACGTACACGGTCATGATGATGAGGAATATGCGCGAGATCAAGGCTTGAGAAACGATGATGCTTTGCAGGTAGACTGATCAATGTTTCCCGTTCAATAGTCTTTCTTTTTTGGGTAATCTCGGTGTCTCCTATCCCCCGGGGCCTAGTTACCCCAGTAGCACATTCTTTGTAAGCCGACAAAACGCAAGCCCAATGACTTCGTTGATACTGAAGTACTTATGTCACAATGTCGTTGGTCTCCCAGGTGCTGCAGTCGCAAGTTCTGCTGGGTAGCGAACGCAAGTTGCAGCCCGCGGCCTTGCGGATGACTTTGCCAAGGCGCTAACATCGAGACGCCGAAATAGCTTCGTCATTTGACGTTGTCGTTGTCCTGCCCTCCGCCCAGCACTCTTCCATCATCAGCCTTCCATCCGCAAATCGTTGTCTGAATGTCTCATATCGCGCACAAGTGCGTATCTGCATATGCCAGCCGCTTACGTTACAAATAGCCACAGCTAGCACGCTGTAGATTCGCCAGATTCGCCACATCTGCAGCCGAGTGAGATTAGCCCTCGTTAGAGGCCGATCTCGCCTGTCATTGGAGTGCACTTTGAGGGACCGAGATTGCAGATTGTCCATACACACTTCTAGATGCCCTAGGGTAAATCTAGATGCAATGGGAATGCGGCACACGCAGGTGGCCAGTGAGAAGATACCAGAGTGCATTAGCGCACCCAGGTGCGAAAAGCTACGCTAGCTCCCTGCCGACCCGCAAGTCCTATGGCCGCCTGTGTTGAGTCGGCTCGTCTCGCGTGGCGATATGCAAACTTTCACTTCATACCTCACGATGTCTGATGTTTGTTGAATGCAAGTATTTATTGTTTCTCTCTACTGTTGCAACGCCAAAGCATGGAGCCTGAGAAAGCTAGTGGACGCCTCCGACCTTTCGTGGTTTAGTCGCTGGTACTGCGCATCATGGGTCAACATTGGGACAGCCGCGAGGAGACCAAGACGGACCGCTATGGGATGAGGAGAGAACGCGACGTACTTCTCCTTTATGGCGCAGCCTTTCGCAACATCCCCCAGGTCAACAACCTGGAAAACCATGTACCTCGCCTGTCTTTAGACTCGACACTGACAGCCTTGTGTCAACTTACGGCCATCCGTATGGGAGCACAACGGTCCATGATATCGCTCATCGACGACGAACGACAACACATACTCGCAGAGGCAACTCGTGACTTACCCTTACGACCAGAAGCGCCAGGTGATGCTCCAAAAGACCTTTGGCTCGGAAATGTTAGCACTCCGCGGAGCTGGGGCATATGTGAAAAGGTCTTGGAATTGGACCGGCATGATCACCCAGTCTTTGTCATCAACGATCTTACCACAGATCAAAGAACATGTCTTCGCACCGACGTCCAAGGGAATTCCGACATGCGCTTCTACGCCAGCGTCGCGTTGATGTCTCCGAACGGCGCAGTAGTTGGAACGCTTTGTATCTTCGACAACAAGGCTCGAGAGGGTGTTTCGAAAGAGGAACTCACTTTGTTCAAGGACCTGGGCTCTACAGTCATTAATTACTTGAACACATACACGATCCGGGACAAGTACAGGCGAGGAGAGAAGTTCACCCGCGGTCTCGTCTCATTTGCTGAAGGCGCCTCTTCTCTTGCTCCGTTTGAGGGTGAATCTCGGCACAACTCGATGGCAGTCTCCCAGACATTGTGGGATCCATCATCCACATCATCGCGAGATGAGAAGGACAGAGCACCTACGGATAGAGCCAAGACTGCGCAAGAAAGAGACGAGTCGCACCAGACTGTTCCCAACCAATCACTATCAGCAAGACCGAAGGCGAGTCGTGCCAGGTCTAACCGACATCGGTCGATTCGTTCGCTACGTAAGGAACATCACCTTGCAAGTTTCTGATACAGGCACTGACTTCATGCTAAAAATGTAGAGGACTCCATCTTACCCACCGACTCAAAGTCCATGTTCTCTCGTGCTGCAAACTTATTGATGAGCTCGAGCGACCTGGATGGAGTGCTCATCCTCGATGCGAGCGTTGCGGCAAGCGGGGGACAGCGTCGTAACAACAGTGCCTCAAGGAGCGGAACTGAAGCTCCCTCCGAATCGTATCGATCTAGATCCTCCAGCGATGAAGCGAGCTCAAACAGCACTGAAGGGTATGCCCGCGGCACTTCCTCCTCAACGTCCAAAATGTGTCAGCTACTTGGAGTAGCCACCCCAAGCGACAAAGAGCCGGAATATGGGACATTGTTGGAACCTGACCTTTCCCGCCTGTTTCACGAATACCCACATGGCAAGATATTTACCTTCAGCGCTGAGGGCGATTCCTTATCCTCGAGTGAAGAAACAGTCTCGAGCCTCAAGGTCGCTGAACATCTGTCACCTACCCCGCTAACGAAGCGCAAGACCAACGATCGAACACAGCGAGGATCGGCTGCTATACAAGCGATGTTTCCGAAAGCACGCAGTATTGCTTTCATTCCCTTTTGGGACTTTGAAAGGTCCAGATGGTTCGCCGGCTGTCTGTGCTGGAGCAACGATCCATACAGATTATTGTCAGCTTCTGTGGACATGGCATATTTCAAGATTTTCAGTCACTCAATCATGAGGGAGCTCTCAAGACTAGATGCCGCAGCCTTGGATCAGGTGGGTAAACGAATAAAACGCCAATGTTGCGAGAGCTAAGAATGTGTCACAGGCCAAGTCGACGTTTATTTCGTCTATTTCACATGAGTTACGTTCGCCCCTGCACGGAATACTGGGTACATTGGAGTTCATCAAAGATACGCCGCTCGACTCATTCCAGACGAGTATGATGAACTCTTTGCACGCTTGCGGTACGACCCTTCTTGATACCATCAACCACCTCATGGACTATGCCAAGATCAGCGAAGAAAAGAAGATAGTGTCCTCGAAAAAACTGAAAAATGAGAACACAATACGGCTATCTTCGAAACCATTGAAAAGCCGGCGAAGAAAGGTCTCTGCATTTGATCTCGGGATCGCGACTGAAGAGGTAGTGGAAGCGGTGCTTTCTGGGTCATCGTATATTCCAGCCACATCCAGGCTCATGGAAGCACCCATATCGCCTACAGATGAACATGCAATGTCGTTTCCGCAACGCCGAGCACGTTTCGTCGTTTTCGACTTGGCTTACGATGACGATTGGGTCTTTTCATTTCCAATTGGATCTTGGAGAAGAATCGTGATGAATCTGTTTGGCAACGCTGTCAAATATACTGAAACGGGGTATATCCATGTTTCCCTACGATCCAGTAATCTAGCAGAAAACGCCGGTGCTCCTACAGCAATCACACTCACCATTACGGATACTGGCTCAGGTATGAGTTCTAGTTTTCTCGCAAACCGCCTCTTCCACCCATTCTCCCAGGAGAATCCTCACGCGCCAGGCACAGGCTTGGGTATGAGTATTGTGCGCCAAATAATCGACACGAACGGTGGCAAGGTTGAAGTCAGCAGTGACCGCAACGTGGGCACCAAACTCATTGTCAAACTTGCTCTCGCTAGACCGGAGGTACCTGGTACGATGACAGCGGAGCGCGCGCAGTTTCTGTCTTATCTGCCGAGGCTAGAAGGCCGGAGAATATGCATCCTTCGCAAGACGATAGAGAGACCAGTTGAAGACAACAGTCTCTCCAAGACGGACGAAGGCCTATTACGCTTCACTAACGCACTGGTCTATACCTTGGAGACGCATCTTAAGATGGAAGTCGTGAAAACGAATGAGTGGGAAGGTCATGATGCCGACATGGTCATCTGTCCGGAGTTGTCCTTTGACTACCTCGCTACGATTCGGAAACGAAGGCCCAACGGCCAGCGCGCCCCAGTGACTATCTTTGTCGGTATGGATGCACTCGAAGCAGCGACCCTGCGCTCTGACGTTCGCGTGACCAATCGGGAGTCGGTAGTAGAGATCATCACCCAGCCATGCGGACCGTATAAACTCGCTTGGGTTCTCAACCGATGTTTGGATCGTTACGAACACCCAGCTGAAAACTTGCAACCCACTGGTGTGTCCAGCCCGCCGCCGCAGCCCATGTGGCAAAGTCCGCCACGAGAGTCGCGTCCTTCAACACCAATGAAGTCGATGCAGAGTGCGATTGAGTCTCTCGATTCAGAATCACCTAGACCGATTGCTCCTTCTACAGCTGGATCCACAGTTGCGCAGGCTTCAGTTACTTCGCCTACGTCGCCTCAAGAAGACGACCCTGTGATATCGCACACACTCATCGTCGATGATAACCCATTGAATCGACGACTTCTCGTCGCGTTCATGAAGAAAAATGGTCTTCAATTCGACCAGGCATCAAACGGACAGGAAGCTGTGGACAAGTACCGAGAACGACCGCGCAAGTACGACGTTATATTAATGGACATGTCCATGCCGGTCATGGACGGCATGAGCGCTACACGAGCCATCCGCGAATACGAGCGAAACAACAAACTGGCAAGGTGTTCTATTGTCGCACTTACTGGGTTAGCATCGTCAAGCGCTAAGCTGGAAGCCTGGAGTTCGGGGATCGATCACTTCATGACGAAGCCCGTCAACTTCAAGGCGCTGGGAGACCTTCTTAAGAGTGACGAGGTGCGGAGGCATGCGAGACCAAGCGAAGGGGATAATACTGCGGCAGCAGCTGATATACCTTCTGAGGAGTGTAAGACGTGAGGCTGCAGCGGCTGCTTCGTCGACCCACTCAAGATTCGACTTCGCGCCTATAGAGTGCGGGAGGGACTACCAGCTCCGCGATCCTTGTTGGTTTTGAGTTACGACTGCGGCACTGACCATTTCTAGTACATGATCCATGGCCCCACAGTTATGAACCAACACGCCGCGTCCGAGAGAACAATAGCAGGTCAGAGATTTCCTTGACTGTAGAAACCATTACCAGCATCAACCAATCGCAAAGATCAAGTACATAGTGCAAACTGCGCATACACCTATATCGAGCCATCTACTTTACTCTTTCTCCACCGTCACAGTGAACTGTGGCTCTTCCAACCCATACAGCACCGTCCCATCCAAAACCCAATTGGACAAACAAGCCCCACATCCCGACAGCGCGCCAAAAGGATTAATCTCCACCAACTGCACACTCCCATCTTGCTGCAGCGCAACATCAAAACTAAACCCATACCTCAACAGCAACCCCATAATCTCCTCACTCAGCTCTTGCTCCCCATACGCCACAATCTCCCCCAGTACCATCTTCGCCCCCACATCAACCAACCCAACAGTCCGCTGCAATTCAAACCCCCATGGTGCTTCAAACCCCATCGGCCACCTATACTGGCTAATCGCACTAACCTCAAACTGCGCCGCGAGTGCCTCCCGTCCTATCTTCGCAGCAGGTGGCGGAACGAACACGCGAAACTCCTTTGCGGGATCCATCTCCTCATCCCACGGATTCAAAACGAGTTTAATCTGCATCTCCCTCCCTTCTTTCTTCGCATCTTCGAATTCGCGTGTCAGACAGCCGTACGCGCGCATACTGGAACATATCTTTGTGATGACGTCTTCGGCTGTGGAACTAGGTAGTTTTCCTCCCATGGGCGAGTCTTTGGGCGACATCTGATCGAGGCGGATGAACCATTTCCGTTTTCCATCGAGGAGGCCAGCGAGTTTCTTGCCTGATTTAGTGCAGTGCAGTGTTTCGACGACGTCGTTTAGCAGCGACTTATGAATCCGGTTCGTAGCTACCCACGCGCTGTGGCAACGCAACAAATCCTCGTACAGGAAACTGGGGAGGAGGATTTCGTGGTACTCGGCCAGGTTCTGGGAGGTCGCGATGTGCGGGTGCCAGAGTGTGTAGCCGTAGGGTGTCCAGGGCGGTGTTTCGTGCGTGAAGTGTGAGTTGCATGGGACGACGGGGCTGATTTCTGAGACAAGGTGGTGGGCGGTGCTGAAGCGTTGGGAGCGGGATGATGGGTTGGAGGAGTCGGTGTTGGCGGCTATGGCGGCGGTGTCGGTTAAGACGAGAGAGTAGGGGATTTTGCGGAGGTGCATTTTGGGAGTTGGGGTGGGTTGGTTTTTGGGGAGCGGAGTGTGATATGGAGGGGATAGTGTAGATGATTTGAAGGAATGAGAGTGCTGTATAGATGAGTCTTATATGGCAGGTGTGCATTGCTGATGTTGGGTGTGGAAGTTGCGTACCGTGGTTACGATGGAGTCACGACATCCACATCTGGAACGTGAAGGGCGTAACGACAGTTTGATCATGCCCCATCGTGCATTCTGCCCTTTCAAGGCAACGACGAAGCCCGATCAGGTATCTCATGTTCCTAGTCTATCCTCATTCTCATCATGCGCCCCACCGTCATCAGCTCGTAAAGTCGTCTCCACAGCCTCTCACTCCATACTCCCTCCTGCAGCTCCTTATCTCGTTTCTCCCACTTCAAAAGGACAATGACGCATTCCTGTTCACAGTAAAAGTTCTCACATCCCAAAGCAGAAGAACATACCTCATTCCAGCCTTTTCTCACGCCCCACCCCCAACCACTTTATCCATAGACTCCTCTGAACCACACACGTACCCACTCACTCACCCATCCCCCATCACGAACGAAAAGATCCACTTACCTCCTCCCTCCCACCCCGAGCCATCGGCCCCCTTCCCCCCAAACAAAGTCGCGCAAAAACAGTGGCAAAGCAAAACAAAACACAATAGATTGGCAGGCCGCCCCACACACATCTAACAAGCAACAAATTCCCCTCTCTGAAGGCTAGGTTAGCAAGTCTCCTTGTGCGGGTGGTATGCTTGTCTGTCCCCCCCAATCTAGAGGGCCCCACGCAAGGGGGGCAGGTGGATGGTTGTAAGGAAAATCGCTGGTAACTGGTACTTTGTACATCCGGGAGATATAGAGTGTATCTGCGTCCCGACGCGCAGGGAATGCGCGAAAAACATGGAAATAAAGGGGGTGGTGTAGACGAGCGAGGGGGGTGGGGGCGGGGCGGGAGGTGGAGCTGTGAGATGCTTGGTCGGGTGACTGGGTGGTTTGTTAGCATGGCGGTGGGAATGTGGGAAGATGGGAGGGAAGGGGGAGGGGTGAGTGGGTGAGTAGGTGAGTAGGTAGTTGACTGCTTGGAGGCAGGATGGAGGGAAAATTGAAGAGTTTATATATACATAGGGGACCGGGTTTGCTGTCAAGCAGCTGATGTGATCAATCATGCGCATTGAGTCTCGGTAACTTTTGTTTCTGCTCGGAGCCCTGATGTTTAGCCCACATGGTCAATACAGCTGCACCCTAGACGACGACACTAGCACAACATGCACATGTACCCCACAGTCACAGTCAACGCAAAGACTATACAGTAACAAGATTCCATTTTCCTGCCTATCCTACTCTGGAGCCTCCACAGCCCATGGTACTATATCTCTCTATACGCCAGTCCCTTGAACGCTAATGCAGGAAACCAAGAAAAAACTTCAAACACCGTGATATCGTTTGATCGAAGCACAGAGAGTACGTAGCGTGCGGCCGAGCAAATGTCGATCTGTACAGACCCAAGCACGCACGCACTGTTCTTATAGACCTCGTAATCGACGACTTGGCCTTCCGGGCGGCATACTCGCAGCCAACAAAGCTTCGATGCCCGCCGCTTTCGCCTTCTCTCTCGTCTCCGCTGTCGTCTCCGCTCTCATCTCCGCTTCTTCAGACACGGCTTGTCAGCAAAAGCGCCAACAAGTCAAACAGGAAAGAAAAAAGGAAATCCCCGAGTTACTCAGGGATTACCTCTTCTTACTTCCAGGCCTGGGCTTGCACTCGTCTCCCAGAATGGGGTGAAGTTTAATCTTGATGGGGTAGTTTTGCGTGTTGCCACCGTAGCCCTTGCTCCAGTCGTAGCTGACGGCGTAGGCGAAAATGTTTCCGTCCTTGCTGAAGCCCGTCGCGACGATGCTGCCGCCGACCTCGGGATAGCCCTTGAGACGGTGCTTGGCGTCCTTGTCCCAGAAGTGGAAGGTACCGTCGGAGCCGGCGGTGGAGAAGGTGCCGTGTTGGGGGTGGAAGGAGATGGCGTTTACGGAGTGGACCTTTGCGATGTCCCGGTTGGCGGGGTCTTGCTGGCGGTGGCACTTGAAGGAGAAGTTGAGACTGGGTATGAGTTAGATGGTTTGGTGAAATGTGTAGACGTGAAATGCTTACCTGGTGTCCTTGTCTTCGACGTATTGGATAGCGCATCGTCCTTCGATGGAGCCGACGGCGAAGCCAGTCGCATCTGTAAAGCAGCTCACGGCCCTTGTCTGCCACTTGAGAGGGCTGGTGATGGTCTTGTAGATGGTTGTGGGGTTCGAGAGGTTGACCATGTGGATGTGGCGCTCGGCGGTTGCGATGACGAGCAATTGATCCTTGATGTCCATGCTGTAGACGCGCTCCTGGCACGTCAGAGTACCGACAGGCTCGGCACCCTGGAGGTCCCAGAACTTGACGGTCTTGTCCCAGGAACCAGTCGCGACGTAGTCCTTGCCGCCGGTCTGGAACCAGCGGACGCACTTGATGCCGTTCTCGTGGGCCTTGGCTTGTTGTGCAGGGACGGTGCCGCTGGCGGGGGCAGTGCGGAAGTCGACAATGTTGAGCATGCCTGTTGAGTCGCCGGCTGCTATACGAGTGCCATCCTGATAATGTTAGTATTCGGACATGGCTGCCAAACATGTTGCTAAACGTACCTTTGACCATCCGAGACCCAGAACATGACCCTGGCATTCGAATATCCACTTTCCTTGCGCGCCATTGCCGTTGACCTCGTAGATGTAGACCTTCTTGTCCCAGCTGCCCACGGCGAGGAAGTCGTTCGTCGGCGAGAATTGGAGGTCAGATATGCTGTCGCTGGGCAGTTGGCCGGCCGGGACTTCGACGTCTTTGCTGGTGTCGCCGGTGGTAGAGCTAGCAGATGCGGCCGGTGCGGCCTGACCGAAAAGAGCCATCTCTTGTGATTACGTCCCTGTATCTGGGCGCGTTCGAAGTGCGGGTGTTGGTTGTTGCGAAGCTTTGCGCGAGGTTGCGGTGTTGATCCCAAGCTTAGACGAGAAAGTAATTCGTACGCGCTCGTACGGAACTTTCCAGACACGTGGAGGTGTTTCGAGATCGGCAGCAGTGAATAGGGTTGCTACGCGCGCAGCAGACCAGATGACTTTATGTTCTTCACCGACGACGCGCTCAGCAAAGAAACAGGCGATGCACCAAAGCTCTCCAGGCACCCTTGCAGGCGCCAGTCCGCTTCTGCCTAGCGCGCCTAGCTCGGCCCCCGGCCTCCGCCCCATGTTAAAAAGTTTCCGTCACCCACCTCTTTCTTCTTCCAACGTTCCTCGCTCGAAGAATCGCAACGAAGCTTACGCACAGAGCGCCCGCAAGGGTGTCTCGTCTCGCGCTTTGGGAGAAAGTCCCCGGACAACGATCTTTCGCGATCGCACTTTCAGCAACGAACCGCCATAGAAGCCGCGGCTTCCACTACCGACTACGACTCTTTCCGCGTCTCTTTACCCGTTCGCACTCCCTTTTAGTTGGCTTTCCGAGGTCGTTGGTGGAGGGGCTGACATCTGGATGATGATATGAGTCCGTTGGCTTCCTTGCTCACGTGCTGAGGTTCGCTGCAATACTGGGAGGAGGGGGGAGACACCGGGAAGCGCCAGGTATGGAGGGTCTTCTCGTCCAGTTTATGGTTATGCGATT